GGACTCAAACTGTGATCCTTCTGATCTCCACCTCCCGGGATGCTGGGATTATAGGTGTGAACCACCTTTCCCAGCCCCAGCTAGTATTTTCTACAGTGTGCACACCAAGTATTCAGCATTAAATATGAGTTTTGTTGGTTTCTTTGCTCATTACTGTTTTTTTAGGTGGGAGGCAGGAAATAAGCCACACAACTGTCAGAATCCTCAGTCACGTTGTCCTTTCAGGTAAGTGGTGCTCTCGGAGTTGCATGGTGTATTGCCTACCCAACAACACACAGGCCCTGCCCGATTTTCTTAGTCACGAGTTCTATCGCTTGCACTTTGCAGCAGTAAAGCCTTAATGATGGCTTGGAGGAGGATCTGTGGGAAAACGCTTGAGTATTTGCATTTCTGAAAATATCTCACATTTGTCTGCCCTGCCCTCTTTTTTTTGGTAGGACTGGGGTTTGAACTCAGGGCCTCACACTTGCTAGGCAGATGCGCTCTACCACCTGAGCCACTCCGCCAGTTCTTTGTGTGTTGGGCTTTTTTTTTTTTGACAGTTCTGGGGTTTGAACTCAGGGCCTTGCACTTGCTAGGCAGGTGCTCTACAACTTGAGCCACTCCACCAGCCCTCAAGTGTGGTTTTCTTTGGATTTTTCTGGCTGGGATTGATGGTCTCTCTAAAATCTGTGCTTTGTGTTGGTCAATTTTGAAAATTCTGCTTCAAATATTGCTCTGGCCCACCCTTCCCTCTGCTCCTGGGGCTCGTTTTACAGATGTCACAGGCCTGTCGCTGTGTTGCCTGTAATCTTTTCTGTTTCTGTCTCAGTGTGTTCTTCTGGCCAACCTTCTAAGTGGTTAGCTATCTCTTGCACCAGCTCTAATCTGTCCCTAAAACCACCTACTAATTCATTATTTTAGTTGTGGAATTTTTCCGCTTTCAAATTTCCATTGGATTCTTTGTATCTTCCACTTCTCTGATGGAAGCCCCTTAATCTCTTTCTTAATCACAGTTACTTCAAGTTTGTCCCATCAAGTCAATGCCCACCTCTCCTGTGGGCTTATTGCTTTGTCTTCTGTCGTTCTCTTAGCATTGGGTCACTTGGCTTCTTTGTAAAAGACAGCTTCAGTCCTGGTGTGTGTCTGATCATGTGTTCACTACCTTGAGGTCCTGAGGGTGAGACTTTCCTCCCCAGGCCTCTTAGCCTCAGGTTGGCAGGGGAGCAGGGCAGACCAGCTTAGTCCAAGCTGAGACTGAGCTGCAGGGCAGCACCGCTTCCATCTGTGACCGACTCCTTGCTACTTCTCAGTTGGAGCCTGCTGCTCTTGGCTGAAGGCCTGGTTAGCTGTCAGAGCCCCTCTTCCCACTAACCTGGCGGGCCGTCACTAGCCATTGCGCCACTCACCCCAGGGGACCCCGAAGTTTCCACGAAGTGTTTCAGCTTCTTGTCCACTGTCTGAGTTCTGTTCTGATGTACGCTCCCCACCCCACCAAGTCCACATGTTGAAGCCCTAGCACCCTATGTGACTGCATTTGGATCTAGGGCCCTTAGGAAGGTCAAACAAAGCCATAAGGAGGAGGCCCTAATCCAACAAGGCTTTCTTCCTATTTAAAATTTTTTTTTTGGTGGCACTCGGCTTTGAACTGAGGGCCTCACACTTGCTAGGCAGGTGCTCTTACTGCTTGAGCCACTCTGCCAGCCAGCTTTTCTCCTATTAAGGAAAAGCCAGGAATGATGGTGCAGGCCTGTGATTCCTGCACTTGGGAGGCTGGGCGGGGGGGGGGGGAGTTGTCATAACTTTGAGGCCAACCTGGGCTACATATCAAGACTCTTGTCTCAAAATCCCAAAAAAGAAAGAGGAAGAAACACAGAGATTTCTCCCACTGTGCACACAGAAGAGAGGCCATGTGAGGACACAGAAGGTGTCTGCTCACAGCCAGGAAGAGGCCTCGCTGGGCACCACCCCTTATGGGGCCTTGATTTCAGACTTCAGTCTCCAGAGTTGTGACAAAAGAAGCGTCTGTGGTGGAGGGCGCCATCTATTCCGTTTCGATGGCAGCCTGAGCCGATGGATGTACCGTATGAATCACCAATGCCTAACAGGAAAAACATCACTTCCCCTCTTTCTGGGATGTTCACCCCTCAGAGAAAGTCTGCTTTGGTAGCTATCTGATACCTTTAAAAAGATTTTTAAACTATTTCAAAGCAGATGTTCTGGTTATTTGTGGCGGGTTGTCTGAGGCAGCTGTCCTTCCCAGCTGCTCCGGGAGCCCTTCCAGATGCTCTGGAGACTCACACATGGTACCTCGCACCTGTCTTTTCTCACCTGGTCACTTGATGCTGGGCTGCCCTTTCCACTTGTAGTCACATTTTTATTGAGTCCAGAGAAATGTCCTCCATTACGTCTTTGGTTTGTCCTTCTGAATCTGCAGTTGGACAGATATCCTCCGTGCATGGATCTGCGGTGCTCTGACTTCCTTTGTCCCTTTCTCTAGGAGCTGGGAGTCTTGTGGCTTTTCTTCAAGCTCATGTTCCCATATTCCTCACATTTGTCAACTTTCCAGTACCTCGGTTGGGTGTGTGTGTCACCCCAGCTTTGTCGTGGAGTGTCTGGGTCTGTAGTGGGCAGGAAGGCTGGGGACCTCAGTTTCCCGATGCCAGCCAGCCAACGTACCTGTCTCAGGCACACTGAGCTCTATGCAGGCCTCCTCTCAGCCCGTGCTGGGGGAAGGGAGTAGGGGTCCTCAGCCAGAGGGTCCTATCTCTCGACAGGCCTTCATACCTTAATAGTTCGTAAGCTGCTTTTTCAGATTCGCCACTACCTGAGTGTCATTTTGCTTCTTTGACACATCACTTTTAATATTGGTGCAGTCTTTTTTTGTGCAAATAGATCACAGTTCAGCTTTTTTTTTTTTTTTTGTGGTACTGGAGTTTGAACTCAGGGCCTCACACTTGCTTGGCAGGTGCTCTACCACTTGAGCCAAACCCCCAGATTTTTTTTTTTTTTTAGTTATTTTTCAGGCAGGGTCTCGAATTTTTGCTGGCACTGGCCTGGATGATCCTCCTATTTAAGTCTCCCATATAGCTGGGATGACAGGCGTGTGCCACCACTTCTAGCTTTATTGAGATGGGGTCTTGCTAACTTTTTGCCTGCGCTGGCCTTAAACTGTGATTCTCCAGGTCCCTGCCTCTCAAGTAGCTGTGATTACAGACATGAGCTACTGCACTCAGCTAGCTTCTTATTGCAGCACGTTTAGGCACTGTTTCATCAATTCTAAGGTGCACATTTTGTACTTCCACAGCACAGAAAGTGGGATGACTTTCATCCATAGCCCATCATAGCTTAATGTGCACATGGCGAACACAACAGTGTCACGTTTTATAATTAATGGTGTCTTGGAGCCGACATGGTCTTTGAACACTGCCTGGCCTGACTCACCCACAGCCACTAATCCGAGCAGGGGCTGGTTCCTGGGTTCTCACCCTCCCAGAAGCAGTCTTTGAGCTGGACAGTCTACTGGGGTGTGGTCTACTTGAGACTGGCCATGGACTGGATTCCATACTAAGGAACCAAACCTTGGGCCCGGCTGTGGTGGGAGGTGAGCTCTGATCAGACTTTCATGGAGACACTTCACTGAACTTCCCAAGAAAAAACAGGTTTAGAATGGAAGGTGACCGTGACGGTCAGGCTCATGGACACTTGTCTCAAAAGGTTTTGCAGGGTCCACAGAAGTGAGCAGCACCTGGCTGCTGGCCCCTCCTCGGGATGGAAATGGCCCAAACCCAGACCCCTCCACCTTGGGTTTCAGAGGCTTCTGTGTGACTCTGGAGCATGGCCACCAGCACCCAGCTTGACACTCCTGGGGGGGTGGGTAAGTAATGGCCTTGACCAGTCCTTTCCCTCTCAGGAAATCAGAATCTAGACAGGAAGGACAGAGACATGGCATTCTAAGAACACACAGCTCCGTACAGGGAGGGACGAAGGCCCGACTTCTCTACTGCATTTTTCCCGGCCCTGGGCACCCGTTCTGCTGGTTCCACTGGGGGCTGACCCTGGGTTTAGCCAGGGCTGGTACAGCTTGCTGCCTGCTCTTAAGTCCCAGTGTACCTGCTTACCAATGGTGTGACCTTGGGTGTGTCCTTTAACCTTTAAGTGTCTCAGTTTCCCTCTGTGTAAAATGGGTCGTTGTGAAAATGGGGTGTGAGCATCTAGGACAGCATTCCTGAAACCCAGCAAAAACGGTGGGTCCCAAGGGTGGCCTCCTGCACCTGCCCCCTCCTAGGTGCCTTTCACTTTTGGGGTACAGAAGGCTTGAGACTGGGTAAGGAGGAAGAGAGGAAGAGGAAGAATGCGGCTTGAGCAAGCGCATTCTTTGAGAAGCAAAGAGGAAAAGGCCCGGGAATGCCCTTCTGATGGTCTGTCCTCCCCACGTGGAGATTTAGGAGGGGAAGGAACAGCACAGGAGTTTGTGCCTCTCTGCGGAGCCCCTCAAATGCGGGTGTGCCTGCACACGAGGCTTGCAGAAATGGGGCCCCTGGGTGACAGTGGCCTCAAGTCCAAGGAGTAGGGACCGGCTCGAGGCACCACTTACTCCTCTCCCTGGTCCCCCCACAGCCCAGTGGTTTGGGCAAATGCCCTCTTCTGCTCTAGGGACAAGCGCTGCGCCGGGCTCTGTCCCGGGGCTAAACGTGGATGAGGACACGGGTGGGGAAGGTGGTTCCCAGGCCCGGGGACACGACCCCTCCCGGCCCCTGACCTTGCACATGCCTCCATCTTCCCTGCCCGAGGCTCTGGGCGCTCCCTGGCGTCCCGCGCGCCCCCGTGGCCCAGCGTCTCCCATCCCGGAGCCCTGCGCGCCCCCGGGCGTCGGACCCGCCCCGTGACGCACTCCCAACCGCCAGGAACGGCGGCCGGCCGCGCGCGCCCGACGCCGGGTCGCGCGCCTCGTGCACGCGCCGCGCCACGTGATCCCGCCCGGCCAACTGGCGCGTAGGGATTTGGGGATAAAGCGCGGCCCCGAGAGCAGTTGCGGTGGGGCGGAGAGCGTGACTCGGCCGCTCCGGCGCCGCCTGTTCCCGCCGCTCATCTCACCGCCACCGCGCAGCCATGTCCGAGGAGAAGCCCAAGGTAAGCCTGGGCCCGCTCGCCCGCCCTCAGCGCCGTCGCCGAAGGCTGCGGACAAGATCCGGGCCTGGACCCCAAGCCAAGGCACGGCGCCACCGGGACCGCGCCCGGCCCGACACGGCCCCCTCCCCCCGCGGCGCCCGCGCCCCTCCCCCATCCCTGGCGCCGCTTGCCCCGCCCCCGCCAGGCCCCGCCCCGGGACACGCCTCCAGCCCCGCCCCGCCCCCAGCGACCCGAAGCCCCGCCCCTGGCCCCTCCCCCTCCTGCGTCACCCACGGGCTCCTCCAGCCCGCGCCTGTGCCGCCGCACGCTCGTTCCCGCCATGGCAGTCCCGTCGCGGTCCCGGGGCGCACGCCCCTCACGCCGGCCGGCCATCAGTCCCTGGAAAGCCCAGGTCGCCTGCTCCTACTTAATCAGCGTTTCTGCCTTCCGTCTGCCCTGTGGGGTCAGCCTTAACCCATGTCTCTGCGCCACTGGGCCTGTCCCTGCCGCCACCCTGGTCCCTCCGCGTTCAGATGACGGACCCCTGCTCACCGCGGGGCGGCCGATGGAAAGCCGCGGCCCCCGGGGTGAGAAGACGTCCAGCCCCAGGACCCTCCGTCCGCGTGCAGGGGGGCGCTGCCCCTGCCCTTAACTCCAGCCCAGCCCGTGTCCCCTGCCCCAACCGGGATGGCCGAATGAGCACCTGTGAGACCGGGGCCAGACACACACCCTTTCCTTGTGCTTTGCAGGTGCCTTCCTCTTGGTGAAGTAAATGTAGTAAGACGCGATAGGGTCACCCGCATGGCCTGGTTCAGTGCTGTAATTCCAAAGGTGACCAAATGGGTGCTGTCCCGCAGGCCTGTTCGCACACCTCCCTCCGTGTGGAGCAGACCCTGGCTTTCTGCTGGCCGCGGACTGAGGGCAGGGTGCTGGGGAGACAGCTTCTGCCTTCCCTGGTAGCTGAGCATGGGTGGATTCCTGGGCTTTTTTGGGTGGGCAGGGTACGGACTAGGGATAGAACCTGGGCCTTGTGCTTGCCAGGCCAATGCTCTACTGCTGAGCACCCCAGCCCCTGGTATCCTGTGGGGGTCGGGGGATGCCACAGGGCCTGCACTGGAGGGGTGGTGACTGCTGATGGGGCTGTTTCACATGCCACCTGGCTCCCTGGACAGAGCTGTCCTCTTCCCCAAGACCTCCAGGACCCATGCATGGGCAGTTATGTGGCTCATCCACGGTGGCCTCCTCACCCTGCTCCCCTTTTTCACATCCAAGTCTTCTTTCCCCCAAGGGAAGGAGCAGCCAACATCAAGGAATGTAGACTGTGTCATGGAGCATGGCTCCTGAGGGCATCGGCTCCCCTGGGGCTGCAGGGTGAGATGAGCTGGGGAGAAGTGCCACACTGCAGGCTGGGACTTTGGGTGGACCACAGGATCCTTGTTTTGTTAAAAAATAAACCACTCCCACAGACTCCTTTCTTCCCGAATGGTGCCAGGTGGCCAGAGTGGCACATCGGTGAGCCTGGCACACTTGGGCAAACAGAGCAGTCTGGGACTCCACTTCCTTGCTGATTGTGGGCTTTGATGCTGGCTTAGTGCCCTTCACATAGACTTTGTTCACTTCACAGTGTTTCCAGGCAACAAGAAACCCGACTATGCCTTTGTTCAGCACTTCAGTGTGCCATGAACACTGAATTACATAAAAATAAAACACTAGGAAAGGCTGTCATCAGACAGGACTTTTTTCTTTTTGCTGGGGTGGAACCTAAGGTCTGTGCACACTAGGTACACGCTGTGCCTCAGAGTTATACCCCAGACCCAAAATAGCCCTGTTCAAACTAGAGACTCCAGTAAGGTGGGTGCTGGACATCTTGCAGCCTCCAGTGCCTGAGGCCAGGCTCCCTGGGAGGTCCTGCACTGTTTTGTTCTATGTTCACTTATTTTTACCAGTCACATACAATCATATGTAACCTGTGAATGTGTGTTTTTACTAGCTGCATGGGTAATTTTAAAACAAAGATGGATTTTCTCTGATTCCCCCCACCCCCCCAGATTTATTAAACAGATTTTTCTTTGAATTGCCAGTCTGTGAGGACTCTAGCTTTGCACTGCTCATCCTCACACTTGGATGCTTCACAAGTGAAAGTTAAAAATAAGCTCTGTGTAAAAATAAAACATCACATGAGCGACTGAATTCCTGGAGAATTTTAAGAGTTGGGTTTTTTTTTTTTTTTTTTTGGGGGTGGTACTGGGCCTTGTAAATGCACTGGGCTTGCAAAAGCCACACTCCCAGCCCCAAGAATTAGATTGGTTTTAATGACTTAAACACAAAACTACTACCTAAAGCCTTGCCCTTTAAAATCATGGTCATTTTGAGGCAGGCTCTTGAAGCCATTTCCTGTCTTGCAGGAGGGAGTGAAGACAGAGAACGACCATATCAACCTGAAGGTGGCAGGGCAGGACGGCTCGGTGGTGCAGTTCAAGATCAAGAGGCACACCCCACTGAGCAAGCTGATGAAGGCCTACTGTGAGAGGCAGGTGCGGCCTGGCCAGAGCTGGGGCCAGGGCGCGGGGCCCCGCTGGACTGGGGACCATCCCTCCATGCAAGGAGGGCAGCAGGGGGTGACTGTTTTGTTTTGTACCCTTGCCCTCTGCTGGGTCTTGCAGATTGTGTTCCTAAGTGTCCCTTAAAGAGTTTCTTCTCCTTGTGAGCTGACAAATGACAGGTGGAGCTTGGGCTTGATCAGCTTCAGGTATGGGTGTTTTCCTGCTCAGACACTTTCATGGTGATGGTGTGATCCCAGTCGGCCAGCACGGAGTCCTTAGTGCCCTCTAGTGCTGACAGCCACTGGGGATCAGGGCTTAGGTCACTGGTGGGGCACTCCAACCCCTTCTTAAGCCTTTTACTGGAATTCACCTGTAGAGATGCTGCATCATCCCTGATTTGTTTTTTGTTTAGTACAGGGAAGAAACCACTTGATCAGGTTTCAAAGTAGTAAGCTGATTGACTTGCATCCTTCATTGCAGTTAGATTGGTTACTTCCAGTTGTCATTGTTAACTAGTGTCCTTGCGAACACTAGCTTGGTCTCCATCTGTGTTGCTGTCAAGCTCCACATGGAGCTCTCTTGGCAAGTGGGTGGCTCTCCAGTCCACATGGAAACCCTTTGGTTTCCCTCTTGCTTGGAGCTGCCCAGGCTCTCTGTGCCAGGTCTTGCTCCAGCCTTGCCATCAGGTGGCTCTGGCAGGGAGCCCTGTCCCTTAGCTGGGCATTGGTATCTTAAGATCTTGTGAGGCTGCTTTAAAACTTAGTGGTTGTGTGTATTTGTTCTCTTGGCTTTGATAGTTCCTGTCTTTGAACATTTTAATTATGAAATTCTGCAAAACAGGTACATATATAGCTTACCTTTTGCTTTTCCTCCCCACTTTCTAAGCCCTGCCGCTGGGAGGGCCGTCACTGTCACCCTTTTGGGTTACTGCATTCTTGTCCTCCCTCGGGCTTTGCCCTTAGATGCTGTTCCCATCTGTGGAAGGTGGGATAGAGCTTTCCTACACTCACCACATCTCTTCTGTGCCCTCCCTGATGAGTCAGCAGCATGCTGTGCTCTGTCACCAGGGCTGCGCCAGTGCTGCGTGCACTCTCCTCCTCCATGTCGCACATTGTGGTAGTGTTTGTGTCTGTTTCTGGGTACTCATGATTACTTAGTCAGCCACGTTCTCCACTGTGCTGAGACCCCCAATATGGGCAGGCATATGAGGTCATCCACCAGGCTGGTCCCCCTGGCAGCCCCACCTGGGCTGCTGCTTTGGAGGAGAGGCCAGCTGCACAGCTTCTTGTCACTCATTGTAGAAACTTCCTTGGCCTCCCTCTTGTGTATCTCTGGATTCATCTTCCCCTTCTCTGTGGAGCATAGCCTTTCGCCTCTAGTCGGAAGGGACTTCTGCTTTTCACAAACCTTTCACACTTGACTGTTAGGCTGCGTGTGACGTTGAAATTCACCTTTGGAAGTTACTGCGTCATTTTCTTTTAGCCTCCAGTGCTGTATGAAAAGCCCAGTGACACTCTGGTTTCTGTTCTTTGCACGTCACTGGGTTTTTTTCTGAAGCTTTTGAAGCCATCTTCTGTATTGTGAGATTTCAGGCCAGGTGCTCTGGGGTAGGTAACTTATCTCCTTTCTCAGGGTTTCTGTCTGGAAACTTTTTAGTTTGGAAAAATGACTGTTAGTCCTTAATTATCTGTGTCTGTCTGTAGTCCCTGTTTCCTGTTTGGAATTCCTAGTTCTTCTATAGTCAGCTCTCTTCCAGGTTTGCATTTGGTAATTTTTATCCTGCTTTGTTTGGGTTTTACAGTTGTTGGTGGTCCCTTTTTTAGGGGGTGGTGGTGGTACTTGGGTTTTGAATTCAGGACTTTGTGCTTGCTAGGTGCTCACCACCTGAGACCCATCCCAGCCTTTTTCTGTTTTTTACTATTTTTCAGATAGGGTCTCCCACTTTATGTCCAGGGCAGTCCTCCTTCCTGCACTTCCCATGTTGCTGGAATGGCAGGTATGAGCCGTCACGCCCAGCTTTTTTCCTGAGATGAGGTCTCACTAACTTGTTGGCAGGGCTGGTTTTGACCCACAGTCCTCCTGATCTCCACCTCCTGAGCAGCTGGATTACAGGTGTGAGCCATTGTGCCCAGCCTTCACTTTATGCTATTCTTATTCTGCCATGATTTTTCATTTCCAGAAGTTCTTTGTTTTTCCAGTAGAGTAACTTACTGTTTTCTGGATATAGTATTTATTTATTTTACTTCCCTAATTGCTTTAAGCACCTGTGTTTCTTTTCTCCTTTGGGGATCTCACATATTTGAGTCTTTCCTTACATGTCCTCTGATCCTTGATTTCTGCTATTTAAGGATGAAGCAGTGACTCTCTGATGAAAAGTGCTGTGTGAGGGTGGGTGTGGCAGGAGCCACACATCCATAGTGTGGCCTGCTGGGATTGGTGGTTCTGAAGGGACCAGATGCTAAGTCCTGGGAGTGGGTGCCACTTTGGGTTCCCTGGTGCAGCGGGAGTGCTGGCTTTTACTTGTCTGTTCTGGCTAGCCACTTGTCCCCAGTGTTCTGGGCCAGAGGCCTGAGTTTATGCTTCCAGAACATAGATGTCTTGTTTGTTGCTGTGGAAGGGATCGTTGCCTGGTCTTTTAGGGGTGTGGGGGGCCGGACCTGGGGGTCTGGATGTACACGTTGAATCAGCTGTTCATGTTCTGCCACATGCCATGTCCCTGCCTCACTGGCCTTCCACCTCTAGGGCCTGTTACTTTTGGTCCCACTCCAATGCTCAAGGGCCAGTGTCCTCAGGCCAGCAGTGGCAATGGCCTTGTTGCTCTCAGTGACCAGCCAGCAGCTACAGCCTTGCCTGCTGGCTCCTCCTCCTCTGTTCTTTTCCTTGGGGATGGTACCTTTCATTTCTTTGTCATTTCAGGGAGGCTTCTGCAGGGAGCAGATGGCAGTTGCAGTCCTGTCTGTCCTGCTTCTGGGAAAGCAGGGCTGCTGGTTAAATGGAGTGACTCTGTTCCCTTGGGATGTGCACAGGCTGCTGCCCTCCTTTTTGGATGGAAAACGCCTCTTCTTGCTGTCCTTACGGCTTTCCCAAGCCTGCCGCTTATTGTCACCTGACCTGTTTCTCTCTGGGAACTTTCCAAGGGGAAATGGCAGTGCCAGCATCATAAAAGTTCTGCTTGGCTTATGGGAGGAAACAAGAGCGGAATCAAGGCAGGTTAGGTGCCAGGATGAGATGTCAGAAAATTGAATGCTGACTGTGTCAGTTTGGGGCAGCCTAGGAACTAGATCGTGGGCCACCAGGAGATATTTCAACGGGATCATAAATGTGTGTACTGAGTTTTGATATTTTGACGTAAATCCTTCATTTATTGAATTAAGCTGTGTTATCCAGACCATTCAACGCTAATCGCCTCTCTTTACAGGGCTTGTCTATGAGACAGATCAGATTCAGGTTTGACGGGCAGCCAATTAATGAAACAGACACTCCCGCACAGGTATGAGGCCGCTCTGCCTAGAGGCTACTCCTGATTTGCACGTTAGCAGCTGCCATTTGGAATACTCTTTATTTGAGGATTTTTCAATGCATGCACATAGAGAATGCCTTAAATTTCCTTAATGATTTTAATTACTAGATTTTTAAACTTTGGTATTTTGAGATTAAGCTGTCCAAATGACAAAAAGGTGCATTGTCAGACATAATCTTTGCTGTTTGGAGAGGGGAGTCTGATATTTGGGCCTGTGCTCCCAGGGAATTCAGAGTCATTAACTGGGGATTGCCCACAAGTCCACAAGCAGAGGCTGGGCAGAAACCCTCTCCCTCTAGATGTCTGGACTCTGAATTTGCAGTTGTTGTTCATTTGTAGCTAGATTCCAGGCTGCATTCTTGTGCCCTGTGAGCACTGTGCACAGGGGATGTGGGTGGGGGGATGTTACATAGACTGGTTATAGTCTTGAGCAACAGACACTCCACACACAGAAATACCCTAGACGCCACACCTCATGTTAGTGTGTCACACTAGTGCAGAGAGCTTCAGACTCAGAAGCTCTTGGAACTTAAGTTCAATTGGCATCTTGTCATTGTCACCTGATAGCCTTGTGATCTCAATTGCTTAATCTTTCAGAGTCTCAGTTTTGTCTGTCTGTAAAATGGAGATAACACTTATTTTTTTTTTCTTCCCTTATAAGGTGGTGAGAATAGCTGGAATGTTTTATGTGAAAATATTTTTGTAAAGTGTTTACTATCTTGAATATTGAAAACATTTTTGCAATAAATACCTAATTTCTAGGCACTTTAGGAAATCAGACACCTCTAAGAGGACATCCAAAGGAGGGAAGAGAGTGGGAAAGGTTTGTTGGGATGATGGGGTTCAAGCTCAGAGCTGGAAGGCAAGCTCCCAGCGCAGCAGGGAGGAGCTGCTTGGGAGGAAGGCTCATTGGTGTCAGCCTGTCCCACCCCCAGAGTGTACACAGCAGGGTCTGGAAGAGACTTCTGCAGGCATTCCCACTTCTGGTTTCCTTGGTCTCTGGGATTTGTAGAAGCTATTTTTTGCCCAGAGAACAAGAAAAAGTCGGGAGGATGCTTTTTTTACCTGCTGTGTCAGAAGAAAGCAGGAAAGGTTTGCCCTACCTCTGTCCTGTTTCTGAAGGGGAAAAGGGCCAGCAATGGATCCCCGTCTTAAGTGGATCCCTTATATTATGGACCCTTCTTCAGGAGTCTTGTTGGCTCTGGATTTTGTAGTGTGACCCACTGTACCTGGTATCAAGTGAATGACTCCTGTGGGTCCTGAAGACTCCATGCCACCAATCAGATGCTCTTCACTGGAATCTGATTTTGTAAAGTTCCATTACAAACAAAAATTTCAATCTGTTTTATAATGACTCTTAGTTTTTCTATTAGTTGAAGTTTTTAGCTATGAATATTCTTTTGTGAATATTGTTAGGGGAAATTAGGTGGCTAAGTAGTTGTGACTCAGGGTGGGATTGGCTAGGCCATGTCTCTAGTGTAGGGGAAGTAGCTCAGGGAGCATTGTATGGGTGCATTTTCCCTTCCTCTGACATTTCCTGTCCCCTCTCACTGGGCTTGCTGTGGCAACCATGACAGCTGGAGATGGAAGACGAGGATACCATTGATGTGTTCCAACAGCAGACAGGAGGCACAGCTTCCCAAGGGACCGTCTGCACACCCTCCCATCGTCCCTGCATTTGCTATTGAATGGTGAGCGTGTGACCATACCAAACACAGAAGAGTCTGCAGGAGCCAAGGACAGTCACTGAAATGATTCTCCTCTCTCTGAAGCACTTTGAGGACAACTCAAAACTGTCTCTGCAGGGATGGGGCTGCAGCTTAAGTCGGGCCAATCAGATTGTTTTCTTCGTTTAGGTGAAATGAGTTGTGAGGTTTTGGGTTTGTTTTGTTTTCATTTTGTTCCCTTCTTCTCCCAGATAATTTTTTCCCTCAAAATTGGGACTGAATGTTGGCTCTCATTCTATGGCCAGGCTCTAACCCTGGGTACTGTCCTAATCAGAGAGAGAGCCCGTGTTCACCAGTGGGCATGTCTGTGGGACAGCTGTGGGGGGGCAGAATTCCAATTTAATATTTGTTAAAGACACAGGATGTTAAAATGCTAAATATTGCAAATTTAAGCTTTGTCAAGTATATGGTAAAGTTAAAGGGAAAACACCAGATGTTTCTTTGAAGGTAAAAACAGGTCCTTCAGTAACAAGGCCTCGATACTCCTGCTTTGGAGCGAGTTTCCCAGGACCCAAGGCCCAGGGTACCATCCTCTCCTTAGTATGTGGGGGGGTGGGTACTTGGATAGTGATTTGCACACCAAATCTCAGCTTTATCCCTTTTCATAACATGGAAGAAAGTAATTACCACATTTCTCATTTGGTAATTGTACTGAGGGCCTCAGATTTCTTCTAGTATTTCTTCTGATGAACAATTATGATCTCTATAAAAAAGTAAGATTAAGTGTTGTTGAATTTGCAGTTTTGTTTTTGTGTAAAAGAGCTACTTCAAAGTGTGGTTGCAAAAGAAACCCACGGAAAGGTGACTTCATGCTCTTCTCATGGATTTGTGCTCCTCTGCGTTCCAAATACGTATTGAAGTTATGCTTTAGTATGGTGACTTCAGTTCTGTGAGATATTTTGGGATCTATACCAATTAAAATGTTCAGAGTTTTGCCTATTGTCCTGTAAGGATTCATTGCTGCTTAATGGCCATTCTCTGCCTTTTATAGTCACCTGATAATGACCCACCATTTCTTGCTTGCTTGAAACCTTGCAGAAAATGTTTCCTTTGTTTTGCTGTGTGGCTCAGGTGGGATGTTTGTTGGCTCTATTGTGCTCATTCACCAATTTGTACATTGTTTGTTGTCCTTTACTACTGTAAACAGTAAATATAGTTTGGTATTCTGTCTCTTGGCTTGTATTTAATACTGCATTTGGAGGTTGGGGCAGACGTCACAGCTCAGTGTTTGTACTGACCATTGGTGAGGCCACTTAGAAACTGATGTAGAAGTGAGTCGCTGGAAGGCCATATACCCCGTGGCTCTGTTCCCTCTGCAGTGTTTCACCTGTGTGGGGCCAGCTTCTGCTGCCCTCACAGAGCCGTCCTATCACCTGCTGACCTGAACCCGAACATGACACCACTTCTCTTTCCTCTCCTGGGTTTCCTGTGTAAAGACAAGGTGAATTTTGGAGGCAGCATGTTAGTCTGGGGCAGCTCAACTTTTTTGCTCTTTGAAAATATTCTAGTTTTTCTTTATGCAGTCGACAGCCTATTCCTTACCTGCTTTGAAAATGAACTAATAATTTGATTTCGAGAAGTCTATGAGACAAAACTAGGGTTGATGATGGGGGCAGTCCATCAGCTGAATAAGCACAAGGTGACAGAGCATTTGATTCAGCAGCAGTATGTGGATTAAAGCAGTGAGGAGACAGCCATTTGTCAGACCCCCTAAAATGGTTGGGGTGGAAGGGTAGGAGTGGTGGTTAAAATCCAGCATGAGTCCCTAAGCAGAGGGAGTTTTTTCATAGTCAGGTGCCTTGGGTTAGCTGCATAGTCATCTGGATACGTTAGAACTTTGCATGTCCCCCACAACACCCAACAGCAGGATGTCCTTCACCCTTGAAACTTGTGCAAGTGAATTTGGAATAATCTGTTGGTATTACTATTTTTAAAAGTATTAAATTACATGAACCTAATACCTCAAATCTTTGGGTTCAGTGGGTGCCTCAGGAGGGTAGGCTTCCTTACTCCCTCATCTGTGCCGAGGGCCTCAGTCAGAACGTTCCCTGGTTGAGCCCTGAAGTTGAAGCCTTGGGAGCCCCTGAGCCCCAGCACGGCGCTGCCCACCTATGCTGGTCCTCATGCTTCAGAACTTCTGCCAGGCTGAAGTCAACTCATCTTACTCTGCACGTCTCAGGAAAGCCACTGTCACACACCTACTACTCAGAGCGCTGAAGCTGAACCAAGTGACTCATGTCGAGTTGTCACAAGTGCAGGATGCTCAAAATACGGAAGTGAACAGCAGCTCAGGAGAATGTGTGAGGGAGCTCCGGTCTCTGCAGGTCTGAGGCCTGAAGTCATCTCGATCGGCGTAAACCACATTTCTGAAGGTGACAGGAGAACGCGGGGTTCCACGAGTAGGAAACGGCGTGCGGAAGCCGCCGGCATCCAGATGAGGATGGTCCGGACCTCCTGCCTCCCTGCGCAAACCAAAGCCCGGCCATTCTTACAGCGCCCGAGGTCACGCACTTCCGCCCTCAGCGGGCCGCGTCCAGGCGCAGTCCGGAAGTAGGCGCGGACCCCTGGCCCTCGCTCGGGAGGCGCTCCGGGTAGAGGAGACGGATAAGGAGGGTGAGCTGTAGAGGGCGCCGGCGAGCGACACGACACAGCACAGCACAGCACAGCACAGCACAGCTACTGCTGAGTCCGCGCTGAACGGCCGTGAGGCGCTGAGGCCCCGGGGACCGGCTGGCTGACTACTGGCTACAGCCGGACCAGACTCCGGCGCGCCCGAAGGACGCTATCTGTTCGCTGTCTCTAGCCCCCGTCGGCGTGCCACGTGAGCCGCGCGTGCGCGTTGCGCTACGCCCCGGAAGCGCTTCTGGCCCGCTACGGCGACCCGGAAGCAGTTCTCAGCGTCGGGGTAGGCGGGCGGGACCGGCGCGGATGAAGCCAGGGCACTGAGCTCAGCTGCTGCCGGACATGGCGGGGACAGCGCTCAAGAGGCTGATGGCTGAGTACAAACGTGAGTCCGGGACCCCGGGCAGCGAGGTTCTGCTGTCCACTGCCCTCCCCACCCTCCGCCGCGCGGCTCCTCGAACCCCCTGAGTCACACGGTGCTCGAGAGGTGCGGCGTGAGTGTCACGGCCGCTGTGAGTCTTGATGGACGGCGCGTGCCCCGCGCTCTTTGCGAGCTAGCGAGAGGGCTTCAGAGATAGATGACGCCGGCGCTCAGTGGGTTTAGGATGCTGGGTCAAGTGTCCCGCTGCTTTGTGGACAGTTTCCGTGTTTCCGCTGGAGGGCCGCGGAGCTCGGCGGCGCGGGGAGGCCAGGCGCGGCCCGCATGTTAAGGGGCGGGCTCCGGGACGAGCCGAGGGTGGAAGGCGTGCCCACCCTTGTCACCGTCACACCGAGGCGTCCAGGAAACTTCGTCAGTGCCAGGGCTCCCCGGGAGGAGGAGGAGGGGGGCGGGCAGCGGCCACCGGGGACGTTAGTGCTTGAGCCGGCTGCGGCTCGCCGGCTCGGTGCGGTCAGCAGCAGAGCCTGGGACCACTGCCCGGGCCTCCAGCCTCTGCCGTCTCCTCGCCCGTGAGGATGACAGCTGCACCTCCCGAGGGACACGCCTGATCTTGTAGCTGCTGTAGGTTAGCTGCTGTCACTGTGTGATTAAATGGAGGGTCGTTTTGGGAGAAGTGGTAAGCATACCTACAGCGGTTTCCTAAACTGGGGACACTGCTCAGTGACACTTGATGTTTGACTTGAGCAAACCAAAGCCTTGCACAAATCACCTCATTACTCATTAACGTAAGCGTTCAGATGCTGCTTACCAGCAGGTCCTCCAAAGTAGGAACGTGTATTTTAGAGCGACTTTCTGGGCTGGAGGTGTGGCTCAAGCGGTAGAGCGCCTGTCTAGCAAGCATAAAGCCTTGAGTTCAAACCCCAGCACCATCAAAACAACAAAAACCGACTTTCAGGAGGCAATGGGAAGAAGTGGTCCACTCTGAACAGTTGTCTGGCATGGGGGGCAGGCTGTTACCCTTCTCCTTATGGAAACCTGGCTGGGGTGGGGGCTCAGACTGTGAACCCCACCATTTCTTAGCATCTTGGTCTGTTAGCCCTGTTTGTAGACTGAGGAAGTATCATTTTGTCGTTTTTATAGAGAAGGCCTTGTGTAGGGAATTAAACAATAGCTACATGCATTATTTCAACTATATTGTTAGTTTGCAGCAATAAAACCTAAATGACTATTGATTTCCAAAGCTGTATAATAGAAGTGTTTTATATGTTTTTACGTGTTATTACATTAAATTTTGGAGCACATATAGGAGGCAGAACTCTAAAGATGTCTCCCCAGGGTCCCAGTGCCCTAACTTATCTAAACACTTTCTGGAATTGCTGAGGGGTTCTTGGGAGATAATCAGCTGACTTTAAGAGAGGAACATTATCCTGAATAATGTGAGTGGACCCAGTAATCTTACTAGATCCAAAAATCAGATGAGAGGTGGTCAGAGAGATTCAAAGTATGAGGAGGACTCCACCTGTTGTGGCTGCTTTGAAGAGGGAAAGGTGGCCATGAGCTGACCCCAGGTTGACAGTCAGTCTGGAACCTGGAACCTCAGTCTTACAGCCACTTGGAACTGAGTTGTATCAACAACCTGAACGAACTTGGGCCACAATCCTGCCCACACCTTGATTTTGGCCTTGTAAGACTAAGCGGAGAAGCTGCTGGTTAGTTCTGGTCCAGACTTCTGACACACAGAAACTGTGAGCTCATCAATGGGTATTGTTCTAAGACTAGAACATTTGTGTGATGTTGTTGCAGTGACACGGAAAGTGAGGGCAGTATCTTGGTTGTGATAAAAATTTCTTTTAAAGTTTCTTGTTTTTTGTGTCTTAGCATCTGCTTTGTCCTCATTGCGTTTAAAGTAGTGCATCCATTGCAAAGATAGACTTAACAGGAACTACCTGTGTGTGGAATGGAGTGCAGGTAGACTTGGTAGGTGTTCAGGCACACTTGATTGTTCTTGAGACTACTTGGAGAACTGCAGAAACTTAGTGGCGGTAGGACCTTGGATGTAGTTTTGTTTACATCCCCTGATTTTATAGATTTTACAGGAAATTGAATAACAGGTATAAAAGGATAGCCAGGAGAATAATTCATTTTAAACTGCTTTCTTGATGTGTTCACTTTACACATTATCCAACTTTTCCTCAGATTGTGAGGTAGACGTAGGTAGGAGTGCCCTAGAATTGCTGTAACAAAGTGTCACCAACTAGGGGGCTTAACACAACAGAAATTTATTCTCTCACAGCTCTAGAAAGAGAACTGTAAAACCCAGGGGTGGGCAGGTTGTGCTCCCTGTGCAGGTTCCAGTGGAGGGACCCTCCTGCCTCTCAGCTTCTGGTGTTGTGGCAATCCTGGGTGTTCCTTAGTTGTGTCCATGTAACTTCAGTCTGTCCTCCACCTTCTTATGGCATCTTCCTTGTGTGTACTGGTGTTCAAATTTCCCACTTAATAAGGACCCCAGTCTTTGGTATAGATCCTGCCTGGTCAGTATGACCTCATTTTAACTCTATTGTATATACAATGACCCCATTTCCAAATAAGGTCATATTTATAGATTCTGAATTGACTTGAATTTGGGGGGAACAATGTTTACCTAGCACAGTTTCTAATAGGAATCCCAAGCTTAACAGGTCCAAACTAGGCTCCTGAGCTTCCCCATGGAGACTGAGAGCAGCCTTGTTGTAATTGTTCAGGCTAAAGATGTAGAGTATCCTGGCGCCTCCCTTTCTTGTACATAATCCCTCACATTCATTGGAGCTTCAGCATTCACTGCCCATGCTGCTCCCAGCCACTCTCACCCTGACTTGGATTCTTGCCCAAAGTTGTGTCTTGTTGTCCTTCTGCGTTTGCCACACTTTGTCCCTTATCTCAGCATTGCAGACACATCCTGTGAAGGTTCAGCTCAGCTCACACTACTCTCTGCTTAGGACAGCAAAAGCCCTGTGAGGGCTGATAAAGCTCTGCATGCTCTACCCTCGCCCCCCACCTCTGTCTTTATCTGCACCTCTTCCTCGTTCCCTCATCTCTGGCCCCTCTGGCTTGTTTCTGTCGTAGGTACTTCCCTTCCTGGACAGCTTTAGCACTATGTCCTCCCCACTTCAGGGAGATGCCATCTCCATCTGTCCTTATTGCTGTCATTGTTCTTTGTCATTTTCCATTCTTAGTGTTTAAAATTTTTTTTACTGTAAAGTATATTGTATATGTTAAAGCATATAAAAGGCATATGTTTCTATTAAATAATGTACATCTATCTGTGTCTGCTTTCTGTTATTGTAACAAAATACTTGAGATAATCAACTTATAAAGAGGAGAGATTTATTTTTTCTGTTTTTTTTTTTTTTTGGAAGTACTGGGGTTTGAACTCAGTACCTACACCTTGAGTCACTCCACCAGCCTTTTTTTGATGGATGTTTTCAAGATAGAGTCTCATGAACTATTTTGCCCAGGCTGGCTTCAAACCTCAATCTTCATGATCTCTGCTTCCTGAGTAGCTAGGATTAGAGGCATGAGCCATGAGCACCCAGGGGGAGATTTATTTTGACTGACAGTTTTGGAGATTTCCACTCATGATCAGGTGCAGCTGTTGGTTTTGTGCCTGTGGTGAGGCGGTGCATCATGGTGGGAGCACCAAGCAGAGCAGAGCTCTTTACCTCATGGCTAGGATGCAAAAGAGAGAGGAAGAGATGTGCTGGAGTCCCCTTATTTCCTTCAAGGGCATTCCTTTAGTGATCAGGAGACCTCCCACCAAGCCCCTTCTCTGCTTTGTGTTCTGGCCATGCCTCACACTATGGCTAAGATGTGTTGCCTTGCCACAGGCCCCAAAACAACAGGAACCTTTAAAACTGCAAGCCAAAATAAAGCTTTCCTGCTTATAAGTTGATTGGTTGTCTCAGGTATTTGGTTACAGTAATGTGAAGCTGACTAACCCAACGTGTAAAACTCTCTACTTGTGAAGTAGATGTGAACAAGTGACTTGCACATCTGTGCTCCTTCCACCACCTCCAGAGTTAACCCTGTAACTTCTGTGTATCATTCTTTTTCTTTCCTTCATTATTTTTTATCCCTTTATAAACACATATGGCTTACTTTTGCCCGTTGGTGAACTTAGAAATAGCAGTGTTTTCTGAAGGGTGAATCTTGCTCAGCATGGTTTTTGAGAGTCAGTTCTCTTGACTCACATAGCTGCAGTTCATTTCCCTGCCAAGTCGATTCCATGTTACGAATGGGCAAAAATCCATCCATTCCAGGATTTAGGATTATTTATGTTTATAAGTATGGCTGCTGTGAACATTTTTGAGAATCTCCACGTACACAGATGGCAGGTACCTATCTGGAGTGGAGCACTCACTCACAGAGCCAGCTTTACTAGGTCCTGCCAAACTGGTTTCAGTGTGGCTCTCCAGCATCTTATCACTGCCAGCGGCAGCCCAGGGTCCCCTGAGTAGTGGTGTGCAGCACTTCATTTTTACCGTTTGGTGGGTGTGGCGTAGTGTCTTGTAGCTTTCATTTACGTCTTAGGAATGAGTCTGAGCACCCTTTCATGTATGTAGGCCATTTGTGTTTTTTTTTTTTTAATTTTAAATAGGGTTGTTGGTCTTTTTATTCTTGACTGTAGGAGTTTTTTCTCTGTTCCTAATTCCGTGTGTGTCGCATGTGCTACAGTTTTTGTCTTTGTAGCCTTTATAGTGTTGCTTTTTCCAGCCGCCCTTAAAAAAGCAGCTCTGTGGTGGTGTTATTGTTATACAGTAGACCTTTGCCATCTGCAAATAATATGGTTGTAAAGAAACCACCATGGAGGAAAAATTGCCCATGTTCAGCGTGTGTAGAACGCAGCACTGCACTGTGGGTGCCTGATTCATTTTCCATGACACTGTCCAGCTTCTGCTGAAGACAGGCTACCTTTCAAGAGATCTGAAATTTCCCTGATCACTTCAGTGAAGCACATTCACTTGTACCTTGCTGCTGGGGAGATGGAGTGTCACAAAATTAAGGGCAAGGAAATCCTCAACAGATCAACAGCTGACCCTAACCTGGGACTGACTGAGAGCTGCTCTGCATCAGCTGAGCTGGGCAATGTATGCTAGGAATATAATTTTTTTTTTTTTTTAGATTCCTTTTGTTTTCTTTTTGATGGTATTAAATTTTGAACTCAGGGCCTCCAGCTTGCTAGGCAGGTACTCCACCACTTGAGCCATTACTCTAGCCATTGGTGGCTACTTTCTTTTTTTTTTTTGTCAGTATGGGGTTTGAACTCAGGGATTTATGTGGCTTTAGCCATGACTCCAACCCTTTTTATGTTGGATCTCACTTTATGTACAGGACAGCCTGGGCTGCAATCAGTGGGAAGGCAGGTGTGTGCCACCACTCCCAGCTACTTCCAGCCCTACTTTGGGATAGAATCTCAGGAACTTCTTTGCCTGGGCTGGCTTCAAACTGTGATCTTACCCATCCCTGCCTCCTGAGTTAGGATCATAGGCTTAAGCCACCATATTTGGTGAGTAGCTACTTTGTGAGACACTATTTTAACAAAAAATCTTGGAGAAATGTACTGGGGATTGAACCCAGGGCCTTGTGCATGGTAGGCAAACATTCTACCATTTGATCCATACTCCTAGCCCTTTTGTCTAC